GTAAATGGGCTAACAGAATTTTAGAAGCTTATTTTATTTGGCTAATACGTAAATCAAAATAATTGACTCACTTGAAGTATTAGCTTTGTTTGAGAAAAAAAAAATACTCACCTGCAAAAAAAAAAAGGAAATGTTCCAACAAACAGAATTTAAAACAAATGAGTGACTATTGAGATTTCTAATGGGAAAGAAAATTTGTTGTCAGGTGCATTATATGGCACCAGCAAGAGAATACTGGAGTCTCGCTGGCAAAGGATCTGGGAGAACACTGCTGGTCATATGAAACAGGAGACAGATGCTTGAAGAAATAGTAGAGCAAAGGGACATGGTACCATAGAGCAAAAACGTCCAAGGCATAATTGTTGCATAAAAGTTTATGAGACTCTAAAGCAGTTCAAGTTAGTCAGACAAAAATAAATAAACTCTGCCTCATTTGGCAGACACTGTAAAACTAAGAAACACTTAAAAATAGTTCGTATTCAAACACGAACTGTTCTTCATGTTTACTCATTTTTTAAGTACAGCTGGAGTTCATCGTGCACTCTGAACATAGGACACACAATCTTAAAATCTTCTAATGATTTGCCTGGTTTATGTCGAAGTGTTATAGCCTTGTATGTTTGACTGCAAATACACAAATGTTGATATATTTGAAAGCTAACACATGATAGGTTTGACAGAAAACACAGAGAAATCAATAGGAAGCTTCTCATTGATTTTGACTGAGTCTGGAGAAGACCCATAATCTGAAAACCGGTGTGGTAAATTTTGTTCTCTTGAAGACGGTAGATAACACAGGCAATCCTTCCTAGCCTCCACCAGCTGCTTTCTGAAGAGACATTCCCCTCTTCCTCCCTCTCTTGTGGCTTTACAGTGAATTACTCAGTAGAAAATACTTTTGCAAGCAAGTCCATGTTTGTAGCACACCTTGGCCCTTTGGGCAAAGACTCCTAGGGTTTGTAGACAAGGGAGACACATCAAGGAGATACACAGCTGGAATAAAAAGTCAGATATTTGTTCAGGGTCATCTAGAATCATGGGCAAAGCTGGGATTTGCCTAGGACAACTGACTGCCAGAGGCAACAAAATTATCATCTGCTTATTTTGCTTGTGCCAGGGCCCTGGAAAGCCATGCTGGCTGAGAAGTCCATCAGGCAGTCGTGCTGCTCAGGCAGGTCATGGTGTCCGTGCTCCCCATCTCCACCCAGGCCTCGGAAGCCACAAACCCAGCTCCATAAAGCCCTCCTTACAGTTTTATAGCACTCTCTACTCCCTTCTGCCCCTGGCCCGGGACACAGCTCCACATTTTGCTTAGCCAACTCAGCATCCCCAAAACAGCTGAGAAGCCTTGGGCTAGCACTGCCTTTGACCACTTGTTCAGGACTTGCCTGACTGATAGTAATGCAAGCAAAAATCTAATATTCAAATATAAACAAATAACACAGTCAAAATATTCTGAGTTTTTAGGCCAAAATTGTAGGGAAGATCCCATTTAATGTTACCAAGAAAATAACATGTAGAAAAAACTGTGTAGCCATTGCCTTGTAATGCTCAGGACCAGGTGACATTGAATTCAGCTCTGACAAAGCTGTACTTCATTTTAAAACCTACAAACAAAGTAATAATACGGGGTTCATTCTACTCATGCAGGAAGTCATCTGCAGATTACCAGAAGAGATTCAGCAGTTTGGTAAAAGTTGGCCAAGTTCCCTTAAATTCTTGCATTTAAATGCTTTTCAACCATCCTCAATAAAAGAAAAAACCTGAACGGAAAATCGCCAGACTGGAGGGACTACTCTTCACCTCTCTGAAAAACAGAAGTCTGTTTTCTTATTTAATTCACCCACTCCCCATTCTATTTGTGTACATTTAGAGCAGTCTTAGCTGCATAATCGAAGATAATTTTGAATGCCTTGAATCATGGCAGGAGAAAAGAATTTCTGCAAGTGTGAGATCAGAGAGATAAGTTTTATTCCCGAGTTCTCCACAAAGGGGCAAGAGTGTCTTTAAGTATCAAAGCTCAGGAAGCCAAACTGAAAAACATCTTTAATTCTGTTATTTGTTTGATCTGCTTTCGTAAGCGTCGCGTTCTCTCCCTATAATTATTTGCAGGTTTTCGGCACATGGATCCAGACACACACATGCTAAAGCAAGCGGCATCGTATCATCACAAAACTAGAGTAAACAAGGGATGAATCAGAACCCACTAAGGGTTGTCAGGGACAATGTGGCTTAGTACAAAATGGCTTCAGATCATACGAATCTGGTATCAAATGGTCATGACATATACCTCAGGGTGGGGGTTTGTTTATGATATCTGACCCTTACTGTGTACCATAGGACTGGCTTGGATTTTGCAGAGGTTCAAAAAGCTTTGCAACCAGTACAGATGCATTTTTCTGGTGTGGGAAGTGTGGAGAGGAGGGTTGTATAAAATTGACTCCGCCCAAATTTATGAGCTTCATTAAAACCAGATAAACGTCAAAATTATTGAAGGATAAATCTGAACTAGGCACTCCTTCCCCCGAGGGAGCCAGGGGACTGGGGGCAATGGCAACAGATTTCCTACAAAACCACCCCTTTCTTGTGCTCGGGGCAAGGAAACAAACACGACAGACACAGCGGGGGAAGCGATACCAAGTGGGCACACCCCTTCTAGTGCAACCAGTTGATTTTCAGTTCGTTCCCTTCATATTTCCCTAGCACTGCTCTCTCCGGTAACGCAGCAGCCCCCAGGCCCCGACGCTCAGCCGCCCTGGCTGCCGGTGGGGACTCCCGGCCAGACCGAGTTCTCGGCCCGGGGCTGCACTGTCGCCTCCCAGCTTGCCCCCAGGCTCCAGAGAGCCCGGAGGCAAAGAACAGTGATCCGTGAGCCTGCTGGTGACAAGTCTGACAGTCCTTCCTCCTGCCTGGACTACTCAATTTTCTTATTAGCAGGGGTAAGGAAACCCAGAATCTGCCATGTGGTTCTGGGGAGGCAGCAAGCGGAGCAGGGCAGAGGATTAGAACTCCGAGTTAATTGTAAAATCCAAAGAGTGGTCTGAAAGACAGGATGAGAACCAGTGGTTTGTGCCTGGATGCAGAGAGCAAAACCCAGCAAAGAGAAGGCAGGCAGGCAGCAAGAGGGCTGGCAACGATCCTGCAGACAGGAACTTCGAATTGCAGCGGGTCACAAGTGAGCGTTGTTTAAAAATGTTTGCTAGTGTGAAAAACGCAGGTGTTACACAGAGCTAAGATCTGTACGAATGTTATCTGTAAGGTGTGCTGTGAGACAGAATGCAGCAGAATAAGGATGCCTGTGTAAAAACCATAAAGTACAAACACTTGGTTTCTTTAAAAAGCATTCTGTGTACACAGAGCTTTCACAAAATGTCTGTTTAGAGCATTTGCTTGAGCCTTGCAAACAAAAAGTCTTAGAGCTTGATTTTGGATAAAAGTATACCTTTGCATATACCTGAAAGACATATCTGATCCCAAAATGCAGGACTGAACTGAATCCCAGACATAACATTTCAGTTTTCTTATCAATGAGATCCAGCAACACCAGAAAAGATTTCTGTTTTCTTCCCAGTTTTCAAGCTGATCAATGTTGCATATAAATAACTCTACAGTAGTCGAGCTTACCCAGGGGAGTAAATAACGTCTCTTTTCCCCTAGGAGTTTGCTACGTGAATGAATACAGCCTTTTCTACAGGAGTGCTGCTCTGTATGTTGTAATACCAATTGTTCCTGGAACTAAAAAAAAAATAATGGGAAGCACAGAGAGGAACGGCATAAAAGGATAAATAATTCAAGCATGAAAAATGACATTCTAACTTCACTGGAATCTTGCTTCTTCAGTGTCTTCCAAATAATAATGCAGGAAAGCAATCACAACATCAAACAGAAATCACACTATTTTTCTGTCACTGCTAGAAGCAAAACATCTGGAAGATCCTAGAAAACCACTTCTCTTCCAAACCCCGATGACTCCAAAGGAAACAAATCATCTGAAGGATTTTGACAGTGTAATTAATTATTCTAATTCCCCCATCAATGTCAATTGCATGTGTCTCAGTATTAAAAGTGAGTTGGGAGCAGTGCTGCGGTCTAAAGCAGGAACTACCAGAAAACGTAGGACTGAATGGGAATTAATCAGAAGGAGTGGGAGGCAAAAGAGCAGAATAGAGAAGAGACTCTTTTTGTGAGAGATGTAGAGGAGCAGTGTGGACCTGAGAAAAGGAAGAGAGGAACAGTGACAAAAGAAACATTTGGGCAAAAAAATCAAATGAGATAGGGGAGGACAGGATGAAAAATAGGAAGAGAGAAAACAAATGAAAACTCAAAAGAAGGAATAATGAGAGAAAAAGGATTGTTCCTGCCGAGCAGTTTCAAACAAAGTGTAATATATTTAGAACTCGAGATGCATCTGAAGTGAAGCTGGCGATTCAGGACTTAAAGATAGAAAAGGAACTAAGGCTACATCTGTTCTGTTCGATAACTTAATTCTTTGGTTCAGTCCCGGGACCTGGTCCCCAGCCATTCACACCTGAGTGTGTTCATCCACTTGTGCGCTCTCCTTTGGAGCTGACTGACCACTTCCCCCCTAGGAAGGAGCCAGGGCGTGCTCCTGGGGGCTCTGCCTGTGACCAGCACGGATGAGGCTGTGCCACCGTCCTTCACACAGCCAGCTCGCCCTGCCACCACACAGATTCCCACACTGCCAAGCGTGCAGCACAGCTCCACCATGCAACCACACTCAGACGACACTCAGAAGGGCTGCTACAAGGCCTTGGTTCAACAATTTTGAACTAAACAAACACGAAGACTAATTACTATAATTTAAGGGGCTACCATACGGTGCCACAGAGGAGACGGGCAAGCGCTCTGTGACGTGGATGCCCCCCCAGAGGAAACGAGGCTGAAGCGGCGTGACCGCAAGCTCTTCTGCGGCAGCCGCCCTGGTAGCCCCAGGTCAGTCCCCCACGTTGCTGCCTCCTGTGAGCTGGATCTACGGTGGCATGGGAAGAAGTAAAATCCGGCAGCAAGCTTCTGACTCCCGAAATGCGACGCAGACTGCGTTCACCTTGATGTGGATAGATGGAGAGCTGGGCTACATCCCGAACACTGGGCGCTCCCCTCCATCTTCAACCCAATGGCAGACATTTGTAATGGCAGCTGCAATCCGAAAAATGGTAACATTTCAGGATCACACCCAGAACAACAGAAAACAATGGGTTTTGGCCGACTGCCACACAACACACCCTTGATGTGGTAATACTGGAGTCACACATGGCAAGGTACTCCATTATGAAATATTACATCTTTCATTAAATTATTTCCTAGTGTCATTCTCTGCTGATGATTTTATTATGTTTTCCTTTTCATTGTTTACCTCATTGATGAATTAGCTTTCTGCATTAGTTTTCTGTGGGACAACTTAATAATTTCAGGATGTTTTAAGAGTTTTTAATGGAGAAAACATATGAACATTAATGAAATACTATGAAAAGTAAAAAAGTGGCAGAGGTAATGCAGATCCAGGCTTTACTGTATTTCCAGGAAGGACAAAAATGGATCCTTTCCCATAAAAAATAACTATTTCTATTACTACTAGAAGTTTTAACAACGTATCAGTCTATAAATGCATAATTATAAAAATTGCTCTGCTTTTTTCTTTCATGTGGAGAAGGAACTGGTAGATGACACTGAACTTGAAAGAAGCTTGACTGCATTCTTTCGTAGCAATAATGTAATTTTTTCTTTGAGCGGGACCATGCCCACAGTTAACAATTGTTCATAGATCTCTTGAAACCTTTACTTCATAGTGTTGCTTAGTGAAGAAGTGGCACATAAGTTTACCACAAGCTTTCCATCTCACGTACAGACACCAGTACGCTGCATTCTCTTGAGCTAAAGCAGATAAACCTCACCTATGGAATGCTAAAACTACCACGCAGAGTGGTGAATCCTTGTTCTACCACGTGCTGCAGGAAATTCTGACAGCCTCACCATCCTCCCCAGTGCAAGCTACCTACACTGCGCATTCCCCCAGCTCTGACCAGAGGCCAGTTTTCTAAATGAGAGGTCCTAAAAAATTACGGATTAATAAGAATAACAGCTGGGTACGAAAGAGATGGTAGGAGGGGTGAAAATGTTACACAGAGTTAGTGCAATGGAGAAGACAGGACAAGGAACGGCTTGTTCAAAATGACAGAGAGGGAAAAAATAGCACTGGGAGCCCCGGGGAGAGGAAGCAAAGGATTTCGCTCTCAACAGGGAGAAGATAATATATGGGGAAGCTGAACAAGGCCCAGGGACAAGACAGGGCGTGAGCAGCAGGAAGATTCAGCCATACTCACAAAGCACCATGTTCAGAGGCGCTCCTTCTCCTTGTCTGTCTTTGCTCCCTCTGCACAGGAAAGCACCAGGGAAAGAAAAACTGGTGCTGCTGGGGATTTTGGCCCCTTTGCGGTCTTCATATAGACTGGTTTTTCTGCGCATCTCTGCCAAAACGTGGCATCTCCTGTGAGGGGTGTCAGGAAGCTATTGCCGCCAGCCAGCTGGAGCAGGGTCACCGCGAGGAATGCCTGAAAGCCTCAGCTTCCCCCTGCCCACCTCCCGACCCTGTCCCCGGCAGGTTAGCGACACAGGCTGCTAAGGAAATCCTGCCACCTGCAGACAGCAGGAGTCATCCCACGCCGGGAGCCACTTGGCCTCGCTGTAAACCCGAGGAGGCCAGGAGGACACTGCGAATGTGCTTCTCGAGTCGCACCAACATAAGTGGTGTGTGCATGGACACACCTGGTGTGTGCATCTCCCCCTCTGCTCTGCCCTAGTGAGGCCCCATCTGGAGTACTGTGTCCAGTTCTGGGCTCTCCAGTTCAAGAAAGATGAGGAGCTACTGGAGAGAGCCCAGCAGAGGGCTACGAGGATGGTGAGGGGACTGGAGCCTCTGTCCTATGAAAGGCTGAGGGAGGTGGGCTTGTTCAGCCTGATGAAGAGAAGGCTGAGAGGGGATCTTGTAAATGCTTATAAATATCTGAAGGGTGGGTGTCAGGAGGATGGGGCCAGACTCTTTTCAGTGGTGCCCAGTGACAGGACAAGGGGCAATGGGCACAAACTGAGGCACAGGAAGTTCCATCTGAACATGAGGAAGAACTTCTTCCCTCTGAGGGTGACAGAGCACTGGAACAGGCTGCCCAAGGAGGCTGTGGAGTCTCCTTCTCTGGAGATATTCAAGACCGCCTGGACAAGGTCCTGTGCAGCCTGCTGTAGGTGACCCTGCTTGGGCAGGAGGGTTGGACTAGATGACCCACAGAGGTCCCTTCCAACCTGTACCATTCTGTGATTCTGTGATTATTTTCAGATTTTTTAAGGCTGTGAAAAGTGGTAGCTTCATAGTGCTTCTTTTATACCTCTCAGCCTGTGCCAAGGCCCAGCATACCTCAGAGTACCTGCCAGTGCTCTGTGCTGTCACCAAAACTTAAAGCTGAGGAAGGTCTGGTAATTTTCAGTCTTCGGGCAAGCTGATACCAAGCCTGGGTTTGCACTTCTAATCAACAACTAACCAAATACATACAGAGCCTTTTTCGTAACAGCTGTCTGCAGAGATGCCTGTCTGTCTTCCTACTTTGTGTTTTGGAGAAGATGAAGAAATCATGTTGGGTGTTAGTGTCCTATGTAATAGAACACGTGGCAGCCAGGGAAGGAGGTGAACAGTGCCGTGGGGATCCAGACGAAGCTGCGTCTTGGAAACAGACGCCCACTTTCTGTCCTCTCTGATGGAGGCTGAGGGTGTAGTTTGAGGAACACATTTTCAGTGACAATTCTGCCTTTAGCATTTACCACTTGTGCTGCAAATGTGCTGAGCTCTGTGCAACCCTCAGGACTCAACAGACACAAGCGTTTGTGATGCCAACAGGTGAACATCATTTACTTTCTGCTGGGTTTTTTTGAGGGGTGGGGTGTTGGTGCTGCCTTTTGGTGGGATCTGTTCAGTGTTCAGCTATGGGGTTATGCAGCCGCTGATGCCAGCCCTGCCCAGGGCAGCAGAGCCGGGGTGGGAGCCAGT